TACCATCAGCGATTTTTCCGGACCGATACGACTTAGGGACCTTCAAGAAAAGAGCCTACTCCTTTTTAAAAGGCCGGCAACGCATCTGCAATTCCCCTGGTGTTGCGGTTGTTCATGGGCGGCGGTAGTCACTTACCATCAGGTGAGCCGCATGCTCGTTTGCCCCCTCTCCTATAAAAAAAAAAAAAACAACTAACTGATCTATCCGTCATAGCGGCCTTTTATACAATTTAGATATTAACCTAATAATGAACATTAATATTCTTATTACTATAAATATTGCATCATAAATTATAAAATAACTGTCAATCAATATAGCAACGACTAAACACTAATAACAATTGTTTATACACATTTAATAACTTTAATCTTAGGTTCGCCGGAAGCTGACAAGCGGAAGGCGTCAGTTATTATTTAATCACCATTTATTAAGCATTATAAAAATTAGGTTATTAATCTAATAAAGGTTTTGTAATTCTCTGGGAGATTAAAATAAACTTAATTATGCGAAGAGCTCGTGAACCCAGGACCGGAAGACGATAACACTCGGCCATCTTGCGTTTGTCGTGTCGCACGGCGATCAGTCACGCCACTAGGTCCTGGTTTCTCGCTAGAGTACGGCATCTGAAATTTGAATAGTACCAACAGTATGCTTGTCGTTGCGAGTTCATGCAATATATATTTGTATGTCTTTATACATAATAATTCTGTTTATCTGTCATATTTCATTTTGATTTTAATATATTACAGTTTTAACAGTGGTAGAGCCACGCGGCAGCTTTTGCTGTCGCACGGATGGGCCGGCTCGAACCGGGGTAGTACCATGACCTCACAGAAAACCAGCGTGAAGTAGAGGTTTACCTCTGCGTTTCGCTTGGTGAGTGCAGGTGGCCGGAGGCCCTTTTTACTGGAAATGAGGCATTCCATCTTAGTCCTCACGGGTGACAACGCATCTACAGTTTGATTTGTAACAGAGGATAGATGTAGATGTCTATGGGCCGCAGCAACCACTTATCATCAGGTGGACTGTGTGCTCGTTTGTCACACTTATCCTATAAAAAAAAAAAACACAGCCTTTATTAGTGTATAGGATTACACAGTTTTTAATATGTTGTCACACAGCATTTATTATGGGATCACACAGTTTTATTATAGTATCACACAGCCTTGATTAGGATCACTCAGCTTTTACTATGAGATCACACAGCTTTTATTTACTTTAGGGTCACACAGCTTTTGTTACAAGTTCACACAGCTTTTTGTTATGGGGTCACACAGCTTTTATATGTACAGGATCACACAGCTTTTGTTTATATAGGATCACACAGCTTTTATTATGGGATCACACAGCTTTTATTTACTATAGGGTCACACAGCTTTTGTTATAAGGTCACACAGTTTTTATTATGGGGTCACACGGCTTTTATTTTTACAGGATCACACAGCCTTTGGTTATAAAGAATTACACTGATTTTATTTATTGGAGTCTCTTCTATTTTATGTATATAGAGTCACACAGCTGTCATTTACATAGAGTTACATCCTACAATGTAGCAAATCAGAGTAGTTTTAATAAGATAGGATCAGGTAGCATTTTTCGAAAATCTGTTTTTCTTTATACATATATTACCACAAAACATATTTTATCAATCGTAAAAATAATTTATAACAGTCAAAAATAGTTGTAGCGAAACACCTAAGGTAACAGACATTTTTCTTCCTATATTTATTAGGGAACATTTATTAACTCATTATAATATAATTTGTCACAGGATATTAATAATTTAATTGCATACTTTTATTGTACATCCACTTGCATACTATTATTCTATATAATATTGATATTAATATAGCCCGAGATTCAATTAGCTTTCTAACAGATCTATAAGATCATCCCTGTCAACTTCATGATCACTACCGCTACTGTCATCGGGGATAGACGAATTATAAGGAAAAGTTCCTGTATCCCTTCATACCCTTGATGCTGCTTATCGTGTATCGGGCTAATGAGTGGTCAGCTTTGCATACTTTATACGGTCCAGTATACAAACCGTTAAGCTTCCTAGTAATATTAGCATTCTTCCTAGTTATTCCTCCTTTCCATAGTACCAATTGTCCTACAGAATATTTAACGCATTTCTTATGAGTTCGGTCGAATCGGTCTTTCATAAGAGTCATATTTTTATCAATACGCAATTTAGCCTTGCCGCGTCTCTCTTCTAAAGCTCGAGCTTGACTTTCAAAGTCTGCAGGTTCCCCACAGGGGTAGGCTGGTAAACGCGAATTAGAATGGCCAAATAATAATTTGAAAGGTGGGAAACCAGTTGTGGCATGAGGTGTGTTATTAATGCCCCAAATTATATCGGAGACATGGTCGTCCCAAGTGCATTCACTATTGGTCATAGTATTTAAGCCGTTAATCAACGTTCGGTTGACACGCTCTACTTGGCCATTTGATCTAGGACTAGCAATGGCGTTTAGAACATGTCTAAATTGCATTTCTTTAGCAAACTCCTTGAAATATCTGCTAGTAAACGCTTTACCTCTGTCTGTATTTATTCTATTAGGATTGCCGAATTGATTTATTATATCTTTTTAATGTTTTATAGTTTCTATTGACTCGCAGTTTTTAACAGCTTTTGCAAATACAAATTTTGTAAATGAGTCAATAATAATAAGTATATAACAGTTTCCCTTCCGAGTCTTAACGAATGGCCCCAAATGGTCGGCATGTAATGTATGCATGGGGACTGCTGCCTTTTCGATCGGGTGCAGTTCTCCCTGCAATTTACCGTATTCTCCCTTCCCATAGGCACAGCGAAGACATGATTTGATATATTTTCGAATAAACCTTGTCATGCCTGTAAACCAAAACTGTGCTTTTATAATCTTTACGGTTTTATCAAAGCTTGGATGTCCTATTTGATCATGAAACTTCTGCATTAGGCCCCATTTAGCTAATTTGGGTATAACGAAACGTTCCCCATTTAGAGTTTTCCTATAAAGAAGATCATCCTTTATTTTATAATTACTAGTAATATCTCTATTGTCTGTACCATTTCGTAATTGAGTCAAAATCATCTGAATGTTTTCGTCCTGTAACTGTAATGTCACTAGCCAATCAGAGTCTTCTATCAGTAAAATTGTACTCGATGGCGGATTTCTACTCAAAGCATCTACGTGCCTCATTCGGCCACCAGAACGGTACTCAATCTGCAAGTCATAATCTTGGATGGAAAGCCACCAGCGGGCTATGCGGGGAATAAGGTCTTTTTTAACTAAAGTGGTTCGTAATGCCGCACAGACTGTCACTATAGTTACGGGAATTCCTACGAGGTAAATTCGAAATCTTTTTAAGGATTCTACAACGGCTAATGTCTCTAGCTCATAGCTATGATAAAATTGTTCTTCCTTAGACGTGACCCTACTAAAATAGGCAATGGGTTTCAGGCTAGTATCGGTTTGATATTGCATAAGGATACCACCTAACCCTAGCTTACTCGCATCTGTATGGAGCTCAGTACGTGCATGTCTGTCATATATCCCTAAAACCGGTCTTTCCACAAGACGTTTTTTAAGAGTTTGAAAAGCACTTTCTTGGTCCGGGCCCCAATTCCATTCCATGTTCTTTTTAGTAAGTTGTGTGAGCGGTCTAGCTATTTCTGCAAACTCACGAATGAATTTCCTAAAGTATGAAGTCAAACCGATAAATTGTCGGATCTCATGCACATTTCGTGGTTTCTTATATTCAGCTACACAACGAATCTTATCCTGTCCCGGTCGTATCGTGCCCGCAGTAATCTCATGCCCTAAATAGTTAGCGCTTTTCTTTAAAAATGAACATTTACTTAAATTCAGTTTTAAATTAGCTTCCGACAATAGTTGTAAGATACTTTCTAGCAACTTCAACCCATCATCAACAGATACCGTTGGCAACATGACGTCATCAATATATGTTGCTACGTCATTACCTAACCTACCTAAAACAATTTTTATAAGACGTGAAAATACTGCTGGAGCATTAGCCAGGCCAAAAGGCATTTTCAGGAACTCATATTGACCAGAAGGTGTAACAAATGCGGTTTTGTGAATAGAATCATCAGAGATTCTGACTTGGTAATAGCCCTGTGCAAGATCTAGTGTGGTAAATAATGATTTTCCAGATAAGCGAGTAACCTGATCTTCTATATGAGGTAGTGGATATCGATCCTTAACAGTACGCGAGTTCAGTGCTCTATAATCTATGCATAGCCTATAGTCACCCCCTTTTTTTAACAAGGACCACTGGGCTTGCGTATTCAGGCATGGACTCCCTTACAATGCCTGCAGCAATCAGGTCTTGAACCTTTTCATTAACTATTTCATTATCTTTGTGAGAAAGTCGATAGGGCTTGCAGAAAACGGGTTGCTCGGTTGTGGTATGAATACGCATCTCTAACACATCGGTACAACCTAAATCTCTTGTATTTCTGGCGAATATGTATCCAAATTTATTTAATAATTCTAGTAATTTATTGGATTCTTCTGTGTCCAAATCACCTACATCTAAGTCCGATAATAATAACTCATTGTGGGAAGGATGGTCAATCGTCATTACTTCCCTCTGCTCACTATGCTCTAAGCCACTAACAAGTTCAGCACGCGCTATGAGCCTATTCGACTCCCACTCAATAACATCGTCTCCTATGTTTATTACTTTTAAATGGCAATTCCTCGACCTTATAAGACCGCCTACAATAATATAAGACATACTCCCTAACTCATAATATACAGGTTTAGTTAGTAAAGTACAGTCATGATCATTTATATCAATGAAAACTTTTACATATGCCAAACATCTTTGCGGTATTACAGTACAATCCTTTAAGTATATTGGAAATTTTGTAATGAAATCTATTTCACTTAACTACATATCACATAATTCACTTTCTTGTTCAAGGTTTTTTACAAAATTGACAGAGTTCTCAGTAATAACTAAGCACAAATTTCTTTAATTTAATCTAATTTATCATTGTTTGACCGATAATTAAGTCTATATCAGCTAAATCATTATTCGTTAACTCAACAGAACCACTTATAATAATATCATCTATCTTCACATCGATCCGCGAGGTCCCCAATGATTTCGAATATGCACCTCCAAATCCTTTCATCTTTATTGAAGAAGGCACTACTTCTAACATCACACTATTAGCTTGTGTCGCAGTAAGAATATTCAGTTTACTTCCTGTGTCTATGTATGCAATAAGTTTTTCTCCATTAACCCTTACCACTTTTTTATATAGATCTAGATAAATATTATATGTTGTGAACAAAATATTACTGACCTTATGTGGCTGTTGTCGAGGATTACTGGTGGCATACCAACAGTTGGCGATGGTGTAGCCAGGCCGGTGACACACCTCGCACCGTGGAACTTTGCAGTCCTTTATTTCATGTCCTTGTCTTCTGCATGCGTAACATTTCTTAGGTAGTACATAGTTTTCTGGTGTAGCCGATGTAATATTGCCATCTCTCTTCCACGTCGTACTGGGTCGTTGGAGACTGTCGGTAGCTTCTAATTGCTTATAATTTTCAAGGGATGATAAGTATCCATAATAGAGCTGCTGCGGCGAGTCGCACTTAAAAGCTTTTGCATTAGCCCTTATTTCGACCGGTAAACCTCTGATCACACATGATATCGCTTCCTCGCCTCCAATATTGCATTTTTTGAGCAAAGATATTTTATCGTGATAGTATTTTGTCATAGTTTCACTATTAGATTTCTTCCTTGCAAGCATAGCTTCTAAAAGATCAACATAGTCTGTAGACCGTGGAAACGCGGTCTCTAGCGCATTTTTCCACTCACTCCAAGTAAGATCATAATCTTCTAAATCGTCATACCAATCTCTGGCAGAACCCCGAAGGCGAAGTTGCATGATGAACTGGCGATCCTTATTATTCCAATTGTACACATCACCCAACTGGTCGATTTTATGCAACCAACCCTTAACGTTGCTTGTTTTTTCATCTGGCTGAAACGTTGGAATAACTTCAGCATCGGTTTGAGTTACATGTCTCCTTTTCTGTCGGCGGTATTCGTGATCGGAATCCTCATCACTAGTTGAAGAAAAAAAATCTTGGTTTTCGTTGTATTCGGAAGACAAATTTTTTCTATACCTTCGTTTCTTTGCGCCAATACCTTGATTATATGGGCCTAACATTATCCCACTTCTGAAATGTAGATGGCGGATAGACTAGGTACGACTAACCGCAGATAAACGATATTTTTACTTGGTATATATATACTTTGTAATCACTTTCACAAACTGACAGAGTTACTCCTCACACCTTTACTTACTGGCGGTTACAAAACAACTAACTGATCTATCCGTCATAGCGGCCTTTTATACAATTTAGATATTAACCTAATAATGAACATTAATATTCTTATTACTAATAATATTGCATCATAAATTATAAAATAACTGTCAATCAATATAGCAACGACTAAACACTAATAACAATTGTTTATACACATTTAATAACATTAATCTTAGGTTCGCCGGAAGCTGACAAGCGGAAGGCGTCAGTTATTATTTAATCATCATTTATAAAGTATTATAAAAATTAGGTTATTAATCTAATAAAGGTTTTGTAATTCTCTGAGAGATTAAAATAAACTTAATTATGCGAAGAGCTCGTGAACTCAGGACCGGAAGACGATAACACTACATTGTTTGACCTAAAACTATCTGCCATTGCGTTAAATCTCGTTTTTAAAATAGTGTAACTGTTATCCACAATCCCTACCTACGAGGTTCTCGTATTACGTACGTTATTACGTATTTATCAATAAAAATAGCCACTGTGATAGTTCTCACAAACTTTATTTTAAATGTTAAGGTATAACTGTTGTGGCCCATAGTCATCTACATTTATTCTCGATTAAGTATCAAAATGCAGATGCGTTATTACCCCTTAGAAAGAAGATGGAATGCCTCTTTTCCAGTGAAAAGGGTCTCCGATCCTCTACACTCACCATATAAAAAAACACAGCAGCATAAAGTTGCTACTTTACGCTGGGATTTTGGGAGAGCGTATTCCTATGCCTATCTGCAGTTAAATTAGTGGTATAGTTATAACACGAATGGATCGGCTGGACCGGGGAAGGACCACGCTCTCACAGAATACCAGCGTGAAATAGTAAAAGAAGTAGAAATAGATTGTTTCGTATGGCGAGTGTAGATAACCGGAGACCCTTTGTACTGAAAAAGAACCGGAGACCATTAACTGGAAAAGAGGCATTTTTTTATAGAAGAGGGCGCAAACAAGCATTCGACTCGACTGATTGTAAGTGATTACCGCCGCCCATTAACAACCGCAATACTAGGGACATCGCAGGTGTGTTGCCGGTCTTTTAGACAGGAGTAAGCTTTTTTCTTGAAGTTCTCTAAGTCGTATCTGTCCGGGAAAATCGCCGGTAGTAAACAATTACAGACAGAGGTTGTACGAGGAAGAAAACTATAATATTATCGCCATACTCGCCTAGCAATAGTCGCCATTCAGAAAAGGCGAAAGCCGTTCACAGTACGCGAGCAACCCAGGTTTGCTCTCCGTCGGCACAAATGAAATTGTTAATTGCAATTTTAAGCCACGTACTCGGCGGTGAAGGAAAAGATTGTGAGGAAACCTGCATGTCTAAGAAATAAAAAAAATATTTCGCACATATATGAAGTCCGCCAACACACATGTCAACACAGCCACAGCCAATGGGTCTCTGATCCTCTACACTCACCATATAAAACACAGCAGCATTAAGTTGCTACATTACGCTGGGATTTTGTGAGAGCATATTCCTATGTCTATCTGCAGTTAAATTAGTGGTATACTGGTGTGGTTTAATCAGTCGTGGGACAGACCACGCTCTCACAGGATACCAGCGTAAAATAGCAGTTTAATGCTGCTGTATTTTGTAAGGTGAGTGTAGAGAATCGGAGTCCCTTTTTACTGGAAATGAGGCATTCCATCTTAGTCCTCACGCCTAACAACGCATCTGTAGTTTGATTTGCAAACGAGGATAGATGTACATGTCTATGGATCACAGCAACCACTTACCATCAAGTAGACTGTGTGCTCACTTATCCCCTTATCCTATAAAAAAATATGAGTTAAGAAATTGGAAAGTAATAATTTTATCTGAGTTAGGAAAAAAATTAACTGCATGAAGATATATGCCATAATTATGTTGCACCGAACAAAACTGGGGAGGTTTCATATACACTTCATTAAGAAATGATGATAGGATCCATGTGAAAATCACTAAAGTCATAAATTTATGAGTTTGGTGATTTTTGAAGTCTGTTCGGATTTTATATTTCATTAGTATGTAAAACAAAGTGTCCGTTGCAATCTTGATCAACATTTACTAATAATATTAACATTTATTTATAATAATAATAAATAAATTATTTATTTCAGATAATTAAAATCCATATCGACGGTGGAAAGGAAAAACCCTTGAAACGACAATTTTGAAATTGTGCAGTAGAGCCGATCAAAATTTTAATTTTCCGAAAAAAAATTATAAAAAATTTAAATTTGAAGTTAGAGCGACAAGATAAAAAACAGTTTCTTTATTTTTTATTTACTGTCCACTATTAAACTTAGAAAAATATGCTAGCATGATGAAAGGATTTACGTGTCGCTTAATTATTTTTTGGCAAATATAGCGGAAGGAAAAACACATTAAATGCCAATTCAGTACTTTGACAAACGCTAGGAAAATCACATGAAGTGACAAGCTATGCATGATATAACTAGGAGGAAAAACAACTTAAGACGATCGAGCATAAGATACATAGTTGTGGAAAAACGAATTAACTAACAAAACCCTAATATGCTAAGTAGAGGAAAAACACGATATGCATTAGCTATCTAATAATTCAATGTTGTATTTTTAACTCAAGTCCCTACTTTGTTTCCCAAGGATACCAAAAAAAAGGAATATAGAGACAAAACAGTGCCTTTTATTGTTTTAAACGCTTACTGGTACAACATTTTACACCGAAAAACCCCATTCCAATGGAAAAACAAACATGAAGTGAAGTGTAAGAACATTACTATCTTCATGAGTGATTAAACAATATTATAAACAAGGAACACAGCGTACCGTTTCTGTATTGCAAACATACATCGATCTTATAAACCTAACTTTCACTATTAGAGACTTTAACAGCCATAAATTCTGTATCAAAATATTTCAAATTACTTCCTATTTCAGTCTTGTCTTAGTCAACGTTGCTAGCACTAAGTATACCTAAGTAAAATTGTGAAAACAAAACAATTAGGCATTTGTTTCTGTATTGCAAACGTACTTTGAACTTATAAACCCAACTTTCAAAAATAGAGATTTTAACAAATATAAATTCTGTATCAAAATATTTCTAATCACTATTAGGCACCTATTTCAGTCTAATGACTTAATCAACATTGTTAGCACTATAAGTAAAATCTAAAAAAACAAGCATAATTAAATGATTAATAGGAACATTAAAATCACATACTCATACTATCAAATTTAAGGTTCGATGTTGCTTCTTGTACTATAAATCAATAGCATCCTCAATATCTGTTTCTGCTAACGTATCAATACCAACGACGTGAGGTATAATAACACATTCGTTGTGAAACAGTCTTGGTATGAAAAAACTCTCACAAAGTTTTATCAAATATTCATATTAACAGTAACTGGATAAAGACTTCTCGTAAAACTGTTTTACAATTTGTGAAGTTGGAGCTTTGTTTATAGATATAATTTCTTCTTCAGCATCAGGTAACATAAAGTATTTAACTGCCGTCACGTTGAGATTTGAATTTTATGAACGGCGGCCAGTACAATTCTATTTTTGTTTTGACCAGGGCAGGAATCCGAATACAGTATTAGATGTTTTACTGTGCCACGTTCTTCCATCAATTGTATGTATTTTTGTATAATAGAACTTATTTCATTGCCTCCTCTCTTACCTTAAGATTCTTCCCATATGTAACAGAAACCGTCTCTTGTACCATTTTCATAAAAGCAAACACTGTACATGGCATATTTTCGTGAATAGTACAAGAGCATACTCTCACCATGTGGAGTATTTAAAACCTTTTGCAGGTCGAATGACACACATACTACATCATTGCGCTTTTGGGCGAGTTCTCGATGTTGACTGTACCTCTCTTTACTGGTTTCTTTTTCTTTCAGATGTTCCTCTTTCTGCGTTTTACTCTCTTCAGTATTTAAAGCATCAAATTTCATACATTTTATGCATTTATACTTTTTGGGAACGCGAAATCCGATATTAAATTCACTCTTGAAAATATTTAAAAAGACTTTCTCCCTGCCCACGTCGACACATTCTGAAGTTTTCTGATCCTTGTAAATGCGATATAATTTTTTTTGGTTTTTAAATTCAACGGGTAAGTAAAGTTTCTTGAAGGTCCCTAAGTCGTATCGGTCCGGAAAAATCGCTGATGGTAATCGATTCCACAAGGGAGACGTCCGAGGAAGAAAACATCTTCTAAATCGCACAGTGGTGGACCGCCAATCATCCAGATGGTGTGGATGGTATTGGGAGTTCTGCCGCGATGTGCGTTTGTGAAATTTGGCGGCTGGGATTAATCTGAACAATTCCTCAGGCACTCCCCGTGGTAGATGCGAAAGAAAATGCAAAGGGATGCAGCATCTCTTCGCAGTGCCAATGAATCGAGCCGATCGGAAAGGACTCGGTTGTCGATGATTCGAGCCGCTCTGCGCTGGATGTGGTCAAGTGAAAGGAGTTGGCACTGGGGAACCCCTGCCCAGAGATGGGAACAGTATTTTCTACGTGGTAGAGCCATGCTGCAGCTATATCATGGTTGTAGCACGAATGGGTCAGCTCGACCGGGGAAGGACCACGCTCTCACAGAAAACCAGCGTAAAATAGCAGCTTAACGCTGCTGTGTTTCGTATGGTGAGTGTAGAGAACCGGACACCCTTTTTACTGGCAAAGAGGCATTCCATCTTAGTCCTCACGGGTGACAACGCATCTGCATCTTGAGTCTTTATTGAGGATAGATGTAGATGTCTATGGGTCACAGTAACCACTTACCATCAGGTGGACTGTGTACTCGTTTGTCACCCGATCCTATAAAAAAAAGTATTCGATGTGCAGCCGAACCTGCGCCTTGTAAAGTT